AGACAACCAAAACTCCCCCCACTAAAGGCTTTTGGATCGCACCTCCCCATAAAAAAAAGAACCTGGCTACGGGCCTGAATAGAATCCAGAGCTAGCAAGACTTCAGACGAGTTGTGAGCGTGCATTGAGAAAGCTTATGTGGTTGTTACTTACAGTTTGCAAATAAGTCGATAATTTGAGTTTCTCCGACAAACACTCAACAAATTCGTACTCCTCGTAGTCTTGACACGAAGCGGTGCCAGATCCTGTAGCAAAGTATTGCAAAACGACTTGTTCTTCCGAGTGCTCGAGAAACGGGGAAAGAGTCCGCTCTGGGCCAACGCGTGAAAAACCATGGTAACGGTTGATTGACGTCCACCAAAACGCAGGTTTGAACCCTAAGAAAAAAAACCTTTGAGGGCGCGTGTTAGTGATAACCGCGCGCTGTAATTGGATTCCTTTTTATAGGGAGTCGCACATAAATCGATGTTCACTCATTCACAAGAGACTTAAAGGAAACACTCGTAATTATACATGAACAAACTTCTGGTTACAAATTCAAGCATAGCATGGGTATGAGGAATACAAGAAATTGTAACTTAAATTTGCTTTGTCCTAGATATAATTATGCTCGGAGGGTGGTCGTTCTTTTCCAGTTCGATCTATTAAGGATTGGTACTCTATACGAAGATCTCTGAGAGTTTTGGACAGCAACTCACGTTTTAAAAAAGGCCTTTTTGAGAAATTTTTTAACACTCCGACTTTTAAAACTTGGATAGACCACAAAAGGAAGAGATAAAATAATCAGGAAAATCCGTTCGATTGACCTGCTATTACAGCTCTGAAATAGGTGGAATAATTATTCCAAATATCGCCCAGGGGAGCAGAATGTTTAAAAGATAACGGAATAATTACTTCATTTTCTTGCGGCGGCAAGTTTTCACCAAATCGTCGGTGACAATCATCAACATATAAACAAGCTAGGAAACGCATTCCGCAGAAACGGCTAGTTCTGTGGAAGAGAGAAAAAAAGTCTTAAGCTTAACATTTTTCCTTACACAAAAAATGCGAAAAATATACTGAATTTTTCACTCGGTGTCAGGGTAACCAGTAATCCAAACAGTTTAACCGCGCTCGTTAAATCTCTTACAAAACCACAAGGCATGGTAGTAATAGACCTTTCCTGCATTTCAGTAAACAAATGCCTAATCCTGGCATCTAATTGGCTGAACGAAACAATTAGTGTGACAGGGGTCGCATGCAGGAAGTGACCCCTGAAAGAAAGTGAGCTGATTCCACTACTGGTAAGGGCGGCTTTATGGTTATCACGTTAACTCCAATTTATCCTGTTGTATAAATTAGCTTTTAATAAATAGTCAATAGATTTAGATACTGTAAAAGAGTTAAAATTATAACACATTTGATAGACCATATGGACAAAGAAATTCGGTTTCATATTTATTGAGCGTACATTTATGCAATCGATTGAATACATTCTGATCAGTAAAATGGCGTCCTAGAATGGAAAATAACAAATGCAAGAGAGAAGGCAAATAGAATACTTTGATCAAAGAGGTCAAATTTGCCGGGATAAAACATACACACAAATGACAAGTCGTAATTACTCAGTAGAGCAAAGCAATGTCAATTACAAAATTAATGAAATTTGTTCACTAAATAGTTGAGCTCAGAAACAAAATGCAATCAGAAAGTCATTATAGCAATCAAAGTGATTAAGGCCGGTCTAAGAAAGATGAAGTAATTTCGCAATGGAATAGCTATATATATATAAGCTAGTTAAGGTTGTATCTACCACTTACAATAACCATTTATACAAAAGCAGATAACTATGATCCAACTATTAACATTTACGATGGCACGTCTTTTTTTACTACTCTTTTTTAAACGTTTCTAATTCTCATTTTTAAAAACAACAGAACCAGCACTAATTCTAACTTGTCCTGATCTCAATAGGAATACATAAAATAATCCCGAGAATCCGCCGTTCTACTGACCTGCTATTCCCGTTCTGAAATAAATAAAATATATTCCAAATACTGCTCTAGGGAGCAGAATGTTTGCAAGTAAAATGAAATAATGGCGCCATTTCCTTACGCCGGCACGTTTTCACAACAACAACAACAACAACAACAACAACAACAAAAACAAGTAGCGGATCACTTCGCAATGTAGTGACAATAGACTCAGCATATCACCGATATTGGAAAATAAGGCATTCCACAGAAAAAGCTACCGCTGAAGCAGAGGAAAAAAAAAACTCTTAACATTTTTCCTCAAAAAGAGAAGCGAGAAGCTACAATCGGCGACAAAATGAGTTGAGACACTTCGCCCAAAACTGGGCTTTTTTACGTTTTATGAACTTCAAAAGGAGGAAATATAGCTTTCCTCCCCTATCCCCTCCGTGCAATGTTGTGCCCTTGTTCTAGCTACCTATAGAAAACAACAAACACGCCAACTTTGAATGGAGGGGACAGGGAAGGGGTGCGGATTCTTTTGTTCTCCGAAGTTACCCCATTTAAGAACAATGTCTCAACAATTTTGTCGCCGATTGTAGGTACTGAATTTCATACTCGGCTTCGAGTTCAGGGTAACCCGCACTTCAAACAGTTTACTAACGCTCGGTAAATTTCTTATTCGCCACTTGCACATCTCCCATAATGCACTTTATTCCCC